ATATATATATATATATATATATATATATATATATTATTTGTTTTGTCTGAATAGCTTTTATGTTACCCTAACCATATAGTCAATAATAAAAAGTAAAAGAGAAAGATTAAAAATGTGAAATATTTAAAATTAACAAGATTTTTAGTGTGTCTAAAATCAAGATATATTTTAAAGAACTAAAAATATTTTTATATTTTTAAAACTATTTTAACGCACTTACCTAATATATAGCTGCCATTTAAATTTATTTTGAAATAAAATATAATTGATAATCTCTTTGTTTTGTTTATGAAGTTTATGATGTCATTTCTTTGTGTGTACATATATATACCTGGTAAAGTAATGGATGATGCATATTTTTTAAAGCAAAATAGTTTATTTACGTATAAATTCTGAATTTCTTAAAGTATCTGGAAATTCGCATTCCTATCATTAAAGTATTCGTGTAATTTTAAAATAAAGAAAATTATACTTTAATTTGCTTTATAAGTTTTTTCTATAGTTGATTCATTATCGTAAAGTTATTTATTTAAAAAATTTTAAAAATTTTGTTGATTCAAAAAAAAAGTTGTAGTTGGATTTTCAGAATACAAATTATATATAGAAAGATATCTATATATATTTTTTTCATTACAAATTGAAAAAAAAAATGTGATTTTTTATTTTTAGTTAATCTAATATTTCTTTTTTGGAAAACTTTTTTTCCGAATTCTATCCTTTTACTATCATAATTTTTTTTTCCGAATTCTATCCTTCCTTTTACTATCATAAATTTTTTTCTTCGAATGAATATTCTAACACTTTTCTAACAAGAAAACAATATTTTTTATGGCAAGTATTTTGTGAATAAAATAGGCAATATATATATATATATATATATATATATATATATATATATATATAATAGGGTTTGATGATTATGGTTTTTGTGCCAAGATAGCTGTCAATGTTTCCAAAACAGCTAGTTACGAATCCTCAGTAATAAATGTGAATTGATATTGATAAACGTGCATATTTGCTAACTGGCTAAGCTACAGTATACTAGAATATTACATCCACTGAAAACTAGTGTGGGTGGATAAGAACATTACACAGTGGAGCAGAAACAAAAACAAATAATGCTGTCACTAAAACATGTCTTCATTCAACTAAGCATGCATAAATAATTAACTAGATGTACAAGTACTCGTTGAACGAACGAACACCGTATCACAACAAAGACCTTCTTCTTCACCTTCAGTCATAAACCAGGAAAAAGACAAACAGATAATGCTATGTTATCCATATACAATTGGAATCGTGATTTAAGTATATCATCTAACATGATGATTTATGGCACTGCATTCATTCACGCAATCTTCTAATCCTGAGCAGTGCATTAATGATCCAACAAGGCAGGAGTAAAAAGGTGGAAGATAAATGCTAGGTCTACTACAACTATAAGGTGATGATGGAGTTGAAGGCTACATATCTCGATGGAATGGCTTTTATATACTTGGTAGGAGGAAGCACCCTCTCCAAGGCAATTAATAAAGGGTGGTTAGGCTCACACTTTCAAGTTTCACACTTAATCACAAGAGCTCAACCAATGGAAGACCCTTTTTGTTGTTTTGTTTTGTTTAATCTCTTACTTACTGTGGAAAGAGTTACTACTACGTAACAATAGATGAGTAGTTTAGGATAAGGTTGCAGATCCTTGAGGTACCTTCAAGCCAATCGTGCATCACCACCTCTCCCAATCAGGATGCAGCCTTTCAGAACTTTACAAAGATATTGAAAAAACAAAACCCATTTAAGTTCTGTTTCTGCATACATACATAAATACATTGCATAGCTGATAACATACATAGCATAGCATGCACTGTATCTGCAACAACTGAGTGATAAATTAGGCAGGCAGCAGCCTCAGGGTGCGTTTAAATTTTTTTCACCTCTTCTTAATAGTGCTGTGCTGCTATTGATATGATGGGACTTTCTCTTTGGGTTTTGATCGATGCCGCTATGCTCATGTCCTTCATCTGTGCTCTTTTGGACTTTTGCAATTAACCATTGGAGAGAGAGATCAACTCAGACTCACTCCAAGACCCATCATTTTCTTTCTGCCTTCTTTAATATCCATATGAGGTTTTTCACTTATGGGCCAAAACTATAATAATACAACCCTTTTTTCGTGTTTGTGTGTGTGGTGTAGTTGTACACATTTGCTGCTTTCTTGTCTTTTTCTGCCCCTTTGTCTTTTTTCAGGTACCATTCTGTGAGTGAGTCTGCCCTCTTGAAACCTGTGATCTTCCTTGGAGCCATTAGGGGCCGGGGAAGAATTTTCAAGCCTTTCTTCCTTTTTCCTGCGTGGTTTTCAAAAGGGTGTATCAGGTTCCCGTTTGAGAAAATTTTTCAAAACCCTTTCCTTTTTGGAGGTTATTGAAACAAGGACAAGGTAGATTCTTGACAGTATTCTCTTCTCTTACACCTTTCTGCTTTTTAATTCCCAATGAAAGGGGAAAAAATGTATATTTTATCTTATTGGTGGGTAACCATGATCACATTTGGGTGAAAAAAAGTTTCTAGTCATCTGTGTCTATATATACTGAAATAGATAACTGTGTTATATCCATCACAGTACCACTTCCTCTTACCTAAACACACTTCCCTTGCTTTGCTTCCTCACAAGCACCCTTATCTGTATTTGCAGGCAGCAGAAGAGATTGCAGAACTAATAGATACCAATGGCAGATTGGAGTGGTTTTCTGAACAAAAGCAGCGGTTTTGGTGGGGGATCAGCGAGGAATGAAGATTTTGACGAAGAAGATGTATGGGGTTTGTGCCCAGAAATGAAGGTATCTAAGGACTCCTCCGATTCTTCTTCTGCATGGTGCATGCCAACCTCTCCAAGAAAGATTCCAAGGACTAATAATCTCAAACTAAACTCCTTGGAATCTGATTCAAACGTGGTTCAAAGATCCTCGGCACCAATGGACATTCCTGATTGGTCTAAAATTTATGGGAAAAAGGGCGTTGAGGAGGAGGGTGTAAGCAAAAAGTTTGATTTTGGTTATGAGAATCACTATCTTGATGATTATGAAGATGATGATGATATGATTCCTCCTCATCAATGGATTTCTAGGAAACTTGCAAGGAGCCAGATTTCCTCTTTCTCTGTGTGTGAAGGGATAGGGAGGACACTGAAAGGGAGAGATCTCAGCAAAGTGAGAAATGCTATTTTGACCAAAACAGGTTTCATTGAGTAGGTGGTCGATTCACTACTATGACTAATGGTCATGTCATCATCAGCATTCTCATACTAGGATCCCATGCAATCTTTCTTTTAGGTATTTGATTATTGGCACTCATGTATGGAATGTGAGGTCCTGCTTTTTTAGTTATTTGTTTTCTTGTTCTAAATTTTCTGGGAAAAAGAGGTTTTAGGGAAAGGAAAAAGGAGGAGTGGCAGCCTCTGAAATTTTGTCTGAATCTGTATTGCACTGAGGCCAGTGGAGTACACTCTGTGTTGTTACTGAGTTTAATAGTTTTCATGTTTTCACTTCTGCTTGCTTCATCATTGTTAACTATTAATGATTTAGACATACAATATGTTTTTCTTTTTATCTTCTTCTCATTCTTCCATCATCATCATCTCTATCACTACTTTCTTTATACTCTTTCATTCACCCCACATCTCTGTACTTATTCTAAAACCACTCTTTGCATATTCAACTCATCATTGCTTTCCAACCTAACATAACCCCTCAATACAACTAAACCAAAACCACCTACCACAGCAACACTTTTATTCTAATTCTTACATAAACTCTATTTTTTCTATTCAACTTAAAAGATTAAAGTATTTTTTCAGTATTGTTTTTAGGTCAGTTCTTAAATAGATTGAACCCCTTTTTTTTATTATAAAAAAAATGAGAGATTGAAATATTTTTTGAAATTTTTAAAAGATTATAATTTGGCATATTCAGTTTTTAGAAATTAAAAATATAACTAAACATTCCTTTAAATGATGAACATGACGTGAGATACAGGGACCACCACTAATACATAAGTTACAAGTTAAAAGGTGAGAATGGTGGTTGCAGCTGCAGGAAGTGTTTGAACCACTACAAAATAATAAAGTTGCATTCTTCATTTTTCTTTTGGAATCTTCTGATAGAATATTAAGTGTATTTGAATAAACTTAAAAAGGGACTTTATAATCTTTTTGTGTTTGGTAAGGAATTGAAAATAAAGTTACTGACACTGTTATTTTTATTACCTTCACATATGTATGAGTTAAGAAAATAAAAGTTACCATCTACCAAATAATAAAGTTACTGCCAATGTTATTAATATTAATCTATAATCATACTAAACATTATAAGCCATAAATGAAAGAAATTACCAAAATATAATGGAAGGAAACTACCAAAAAATAATGAAAAGAAATAAATATGGAGGGTTAAAAAGAGATAAAAACAATAGCTAATTACTTACAGTGTCTATTAATATATCATGTTAATGTAGTTGTCTTCCTTTAATTGTCTAATCCTTGTAAAAAGCTAGTCACTAGTGGAGATAAACATTATATAACTTCTTAAAATATAATATCAAAAAAAGAAAGTATTATTTATTAATTTCTAAACTAAATAGTATAAAATAAGATTTGAAATTTGATGTGTGAATTAAAGAACTAAAAATGTTTTTGGAAGTATTGAATCTTCAAAGAGTTGTTTTGGATTATTGTTTAGTGTTGAATAGTCTTAAATTTTATTATAAGTAGGGTTTAACTATACTAAACTATAGTTAACTGTACTATTTTATACTAAAAAAACTAATCTATTTTAACTAAAAACTAATTATACTATTATCTAGTTCAGTTTAAAAAAACTGAACTTATTATATTTCTAGTACAGTTAACTGAAAACTGGATTTTTACTTTTGTGTTTAGTGAGTTCCTATCGCTTTTACTTTCATTTTGTTCTAAAACTGTAAGTTAGATGGATAACTCCATGGAAAACCCAACCTAGTTGCGTATAGTATTAATCTTATCTCATTTTTAAATACTTACTTTTTTATTTATTTGCAAATACTTATTTTTTATTTATTTAAATTCATGTTCACGCAAATCAATCAAATGTTGCTTTATGGAGATACTACACCATTTCATTCTCAACTAATCTAACTCAACTTAAAATAAATAAATTCTGACTAAAAAATATTGATTCAGTATAAAATTAATATTTTTAAATATTTAACATTTTTAATGTTTTTAAATATGATCCTTAGTTATTTTTATTTTAACATTAAAATAAAAAGTATCAATTAATATAATTAAAATAAAAGTTAAATTAAGATAATTTAATTATGTTTTGATGTATAATTTAATTAATCAATGTATTTTTGGCAACTAATACAGGTAAGATAACTGTAAACTTTGTTTTATACTTTATTTTAAAGTTTTTATATTATTATTTTAAATAAACATTACCTTTTAATAAATTGTATATATTCCTTATTTTGTATCTAAACAAAAATTAAGAAGACATAGATATGGACTGGAACACTGTCATCTTCTCAATTTTCTTTGATTTCACGGTTCAAGAGTTTATCATTATATATTTTATTTACCGCTGTAGTTAATAATAGGCTTAACTTTTGAATACAAAATCCAATTCAGTTAGTAATTAATTGATATAAATTCAGTTTTTCAAAACTGAACTCTTAAACAGTACAGTTAAATATTAAGTTAAATATTATATTAAGTAGTTTAGTTTTTTTAGTTTATTAAAAATATAGTTAACTATAGTTTAGTTAATTGTGCCCAATCCTAATTATAAGTGTATTTTGGAGTGCCAAACATGTTTAAGGTGAGCTTTAAAACTTAGATATGAAGATTAGATTGGGATGATATAAGATGTGACTAATCATGCTGAATTTTTGCACATTTTAGTTTTTGTTTTGGGCCTTATAAGCCCATTTTTGCCTTTTTCTGTTTTTTCATTCTTTCCTTATTGTATTTAATTTCTTCATGTATGTCTTTGACATGTATTTAATGAGTTATGCAATTACTATTCATATATGATTAAAGCATACTTATTAAGTGTATAATATTGTGACAGGGCCAAGCACAAATATACAGTTAGGAGTTAGGGTGTTTTACCTGCACCTCCAATACTTAAAACTTTTTCAAAAAATCCTCTTTTAACATCAGTAAATATATTTTTAACTTTTTTTCTTTCTTATTAAAGTAACCCTCCACCCCTTTAACTCTTCTTTAAATAAAATTTTTTAAAACGGTTTCTTATTTATAATCTAATAAATAAGTAATTTAATTTAAAAATTTAATATTATTTAATACATTTTCATATTTTAATAATTATTAAAATATAATTTGTATTATTATAATAGTTATATTAAAAAAGTTAAAATAAAAATAAAAATAATAATAATAAAAATAAAGAAACAAAATAATACAAATAATAATATAAAATCTAATTTAATATATATAAATATATTAAATTATACTAAAATATTAAATTAGTGAAATAAGATTTCAAAACTTTTAGATTTCTTAATTATTATTACTTTAATTTTAATTTTTTAATAATAATATTATTATAATAATATAAATTATATTTTAATAATTATTTAAATATAAAATATATTAAATAATATAAAATTTTAAAATTAAATTAAATAGTTAACAAATTATAAATAAAAAATAAATTTATAAAAACTTTCTTTTCGGAATTGGAAATCGATAATTATGTTATCGGATACCAATATCCAATGATTATTTTTTTTTAAATTTTTTTTATTTAAAATTTCATAATAATTTAATTTAATATTTTAATATAATTTAATATTTTATATATATTAAATCAGATTTCATATATATTATTTTTGCTTTTCTATTTTTATTATTTTTATTTTAATTATTTTAATTTTATTTTTTAATATAATTATTATAATAATACAAATTATATTTTAATAATTATTAAAATATGAAAAAATACTAAATTATATTAGATTTTTAAATTAAATTAAATATTTATTAAATTATAAATAAAAAACAAAGTTTTAAAAATTTGTTAGAGAGATGCTGTGTTAAAAAGGTGTATGGTTACTTTAATAAAAAAGAAAAAAAGTTAAAAAAATATTTATTAAGGTTAAAAAATAATTTTTAAAAAAAATTAAAAATGTAGAATGAAGTGTTGGAGTTGCAGAAGGATAAAATATTTAAAATGAAATTTTTGAAAAAATTAGAGATACTGAATGAGATATTAAAAGGTTAAAATTATAATTTTTGTAGGTACAATTGAAAGTGTAAATGAAACACAACGTGAAACACATATGGAATGGAATGACCCTTTATCATTTGGGCTTGAGTGCTGGTATATTATGAAAAAAATAAATAGCTGTAACTTTCCACCATTTTCCTTTTGTTTTTTCTAGTTTTATCTATATTAACGAAGTATAAATTAGGTTCCAAATCATTAGTTGTGCTATCATCTCTGAGAGAACTTTATCACTCAAAATAGGAATGAGTTTGTAAAGTGTAATTTATACCCAAAACAAAGTGCACTTTATTCCATTCCACAGGTAAGTTGTAGTGAGAGCTGAAAGATGTCATACTTGGATAAGTCATTTTCCTATGTTTCTCTTTTGAATTCAGAATTGTTATAAAGTAGGTTTTTTTTTTCTAGGAGGAGGAGCTGAATCACATGGTAAAGAATAAACAGAACTAATTATAATAATGATACTGATAATTAAACCTTATGCATTTAGGATTAGCAGAAGAATGTGTAGAGTTGTGCAAGCGTTACAATTGCAAAAGGACACACACAATTGGGTTGAATTGCATCTCTAATATGGGACAATTTTGACCATAAAACAGACCAATTTACTAGAGAAGAGTCTGGTGGGATCCATCTGAACTGGATTCAACCCAATAAAACCTTAAGTGCCATGGTAAAGTTAATACTCTTATCACCAGCCGACACTTTTTAAGGAAAATTATAAGCAACCAAAACACCATTCTGTCCAAATAACTTTACTTACTACACACAATTTGTTCCCCTATTCTTAGTGGGATTTTATTTTTGGAGGGCAAGGTTTTGTTAGTGTTAATGAATTGTGATTTATGAGGCATACCAAACACTTGAGTTGAGCTGAAAAACTGTGGTAACTGATGGTGGACAAGATCTGAGAAGAGAAACCAACACTTGAGTAACTGTTGCCATTATCCGTTCTTTTGAGTGTGATTCCCAATAACGTTTGTGGTGTTAAGAGGCTTTTTGTTGATAACAAGAGGCGGCTCCCAAATACTGGAAAATAAAGGGGCTAAGTGGGTCTTCTTCTCTTGCCCCCCAAAGAACAGGACAGTGACTGGGTGCCCCAGAAGCTGTAAAGTTTGTTTTTTTATTTATTTATGATTTTTGCATTTATTTGGTCTTTGGAATTCCTTGTGTTTTTAATTCATTGTGCATTTTTGCACAGTGAGGAGAGGGAGAAGAGGGGAGGTGCAATGTCCATGAAGAGCAAGGGTGGAGCTGTAGAACTGAGTGCAAGGAACGTCCTGCACAGGAAATGGGCTCTT